GAGGAAGAAGAAGAAGAAAAAGAAAAGGAAGAAGAAGAAGAAGAGGAGGAGGAGGAGAAAGAGGAGGAGGAGGAGGAAGAGAAGGAGAAAGAGGAGGAGAACGAGTGTATGTGTGTGTGTGTGTGTGTGTGTGTGTGTGTGTGTGTGTGTGTGTGTGTGTGTGTGTGTGTGTGTGTGTGTTTTGAAGCTAAGGTGATTTAACGGTAATTATTGCAATGATAAAAATAATGTCTTTGAAATGTTTTGTCTCATTAATTCATTTTGACATTCTCTCTTTCTCTCTCTCTCTCTCTCTCTCTCTCTCTCTCTCTCTCTCTCTCTCTCTCTCTCTCTCTCTCTCTCTCTCTCTCTCTCTCTCTCTCTCTCTCTCTCTCTCCCCGTTTCTTTCTCTTTCATGTCCAATTACTTGCTTATCTTCCCTTGGTAATCCTCACCCTCATTGTTATTACAGAATAATCCCTTTCAGTTCATCGCTTGTTCTTGTTTTGCTTCTCTCCTTTCTCCTCTTTTTATCTCTGTTCTCTTTTACATCTGTCTATCCTTTAATTACAATCCATAATTAACCCTAGTTGTCTTTCTGTTTCGTCTTTCATCCTGGCAGTCTGTTTCGTTTGTCTTTTTTTTTTTTATCCTTGTTTAGTTAAGTTTTTTTTTGTGTGTGTGTAGTTCCACTCAATATCGTTTTTAATCTGTCCTATCTTGGTTTGTTTTCCTTTGTTCCTCGCCTATTCTACAGTTATCTGTTTTGCTCATTTATACCCTTTATTAGAGTGTTTCATTTTTGTTTTGTTCTGTTCCCTGCCATTCCGTTTTGTTTCGTCCCGTTCCGTTTCTTATTTCGAGCTCATTTACTTTTCATTCCATTCTGCTTTGTTTCGTGTCGTTTCGTTCCATCCTGTTCCTCTGATCTAGATTTCGCTCCTCCTATTCCTTCTCCTTCTCCTCCTCCTCCCCTTCGCCCTCCACTATCACCACCTCTTCCTCGTCTCCTCTCCATTTCTCCTCCTCCTCCTTCTCTTCCTCCTCCTCCTTCTCCTTCTCCTTCTTCTCCTTCTCCTTCTCCTTCTCCTTCTCCTCCTCCTCCTCCTCCTCCTCCTCCTCCTCCTCCTCCTCCTCCTCCTCCTCCCCCCCCTTCCTACTCCTCCTCTTCGCCCTCCACAATCACCACCTCTTCCTCTTCCTCCTCTTCCTCCTCTTCCTCCTCCTTCTCCTCCTCCTCCTCCTCCTCCTCCTCCTCCGCCTCCTCCTCCTCCTCTTCCTTCTCCTCCTCCTCCTCCTCCTCCTCCTCCTCCTCCTCCTCCTCCTCCTCCTCCTCCCCCCCCCATCCTACTCCTCCTCTTCGCCCTCCACAATCACCACCTCTTCCTCGTCTCCTCTCCCTTCCTCCTCCTCCTCCTTCTCCTCCTCCTCCTCCTCCTCCTCCTCCTCCTCCTCCTCCTCCTCCTCTGTTCCATTCCCTGTGTTCCTTCCCTCGCCATTCCAATCCGTTCCGTTCCCTCTTCGCCTTTCTTTAATCGAGTCCCTAGCTCCGCCCTTTGTTTCGTTCCTTGTTCCTGAAACATCATTAAGAAGCAATAAAAGCCAAGATTAGTTAGCGAGGTGGAGGGAATTCATGAGAGGGTAAGGGTAAAGAGAGAGAGAGAGAGAAGGGGAGAGAGGGAGAGGAAGAGGGAGAGGGAAAGAGAGATAGGGGGAGAGGGAGAGAGAGAGAGGGGGACAGAGAGGGAGAGGAAGAGGGAAAGGGAAAGAGAGAGAGGGAGAGAGGGAGAGAGAGAGAGAGGGACAGAGAGGGAGAGGAAGAAGGAGAGGGAGAGAGAGAGAGAGGGACAGAGAGGGAGAGGAAGAAGGAAAGGGAAAGAGAGAGAGGGGGAGAGGGAGAAGGAGAAGGAGAGGGAGAGGCAGAGGGAGAAGGAGAGGGAGAGGGAGAGAGAGAAGGAAGGGAAAGGGAGAAGGAGAAGAGAGGGAGAGGGAGGGGAGAGAAGGAGAGAGAGAGGGAGAGAGAGAAGGAAAGGGAAAGGGAAAGGGAGAAGGAGAAGGAGAGGGAGAGGCACAGGGAGAAGGAGAGGGAGAGGGAGAGGGAAAGGGAGAAGGAGAAGAAGAAGAAGAAGAGAGAGAGAGAGAGAGAAAGAGAAAGAGAGAGAGAGAGAAGGAGAGAGAGAGGAGAGAGAGAGAGAGAGAGAGAGAGAGAGAGAAAGAGAAAGAGAGAGAGAGGTAGGAATGGCAAGAGAAAGGGTGGAAGGGACGAAAGAGAGAAAGAAAAGGAGGGAGGGAGGGTGGAAGAGAGGAAGAAAGGGAACAGAGGCAGATGGAGGGTCTTGAAGAGTGATGATGGCATCCGGATGGCACCCTCTGGCACCCTTAAGCATGAGGGCCTGTGTATCTTGGCTCTCCGAGGGAAGGCGTTCTGGGGCTGGTTGTTTTGTTGGCGCTGTTGCCACCCGCTGCTCTCCTGTTTTGTTCCTTCTTTTCTTGAATTTTCTCTTCCCTGTCTTTCGTTCTT